GGTTTGGGGTTTGGGGTTTGGGGTTTGGGGTTGGGGGTTTGGGGTTGGGGTTTGGGGTTTGGGGTTTGGGGTTTGGGGTTTGGGGTTTGGGGTTTGGGGTTTGGGGTTTGGGGTTTGGGGTTTGGGGTTTGGGGTTTAGGGTTTAGGGTTTAGTTTGTGGGCTAAGGCGTTTTGGGGTTCAGGGTTGCAGGGGTTCGGGGGTTTTCGGGCTTAGGGGATAAGAGTCGAGGGTGTTAAGGGCTCAGGGGGTACTGGGTTTAGGGGTTTGGGGTTTAGTGTTTAGGGTTCAGGGTAGACTACGAGTATCTTGGGTTGTTGTTCCTATGGGTCCCTAGATACCTGTCCAGATACCTATAACCCTATGATTTCCTGTATATCTCCCCAAAACCCTACCCCATCTGAACCCCTCAACCCCCCCCCCCCCCCTAGTACTCCCGTTAGAATCATAATACAGCTAGGGTTTAGGGTTTAGGGTTGAGGGTTGAGGGTTTCGGGTTTCGGGTTTCGGGTTTCGGGTTTAGGCATACTTCCTGAGGGAACTAGAAAAACCGCAACCCTCAACCCTAAACACTCTGCCCGAAATCCTCATCCCTCGACCCTAAACTCGAACCCCTCAACCCTCAACCCTCAACCCTCAACCCTCAACCCTCCACCCTAAACCCTGAACCCTCATCTCTAGACCCTAAACCCTTGGGGGGTTAGGTTTTTGGGTTTAGGGCTTAGGGTTTAGGGTTTAGGTTTGGGGTTTAGGGTTTAGGGTTTGGGGTTTAGGGTTTAGGTTTTAGGGTTTAGGCTTTAGGGTTTAGGCTTTACACCCTAAACCCCACGACCCCGACCCCCAAGCGCGGCAGGCCGCTCGGCAGCAGAAGGTTCAGGCGGCGACGCTGCTTCAGGAGCCGGCGCATCACCTTTCCGGGGGCTTCTACTTGGAGGGTCTAGGTTTCGGGTTTAGGGTTTAGGGTTTAGGGTTTAGGGTTTAGGGTTTAGGGTTTGGGGTTTAGGGTTTAGGGTTTCGGGTTTGAGGTTTAGGGTACTTGTTGACCAATTCTAACTGTGCTTACCCCCCTAAATACTACATCCAGGGTTCAGGGATCCGAATGATATGGGGCTCAGGTGGGGTGCGGAGTCTTCGGCGCTCTGATTTCAGGAACAGGCCGCTGCCTAGTTAGGGTTTAGGTTTGGGGTTTAGGGTTTAGGGTTCAGGGCTTAGGGTTTGGGGTTTAGGGTTTAGGGTTTAGGGCGTGGGATTTGATTTAAGGTTGCGGGACTTGGCGTTGGGGCTTTGGGGGTTTGGGGTTTAGGATCTGGATCCTGGTGTGTTTGAAACCTTCTCAGCGGGAAACGAGTGTGTCTTAAACCTTGCGACCAAGAGCTTTCAGACCTAAGCCCGTGAGAATGTACAGAGGATGGAAGGCAACATGATTCCATTGTAACGCTCAAGGTTATAAACCCTGACACCTAAGTCGTTCCTTAATGAAGAAATGAAGAGGTATGGGGCCCCCTTGGCTCTGCAGCGCAGGGCTCGAAACATGCTCTTCCCTAAACCCTAAACCCTAAACCCTAAACCCTAAACCCTAAACCCTAAACCCTATACCCTAACCCCTAAACCCTAAACCCTAAACCCTAAACCCTAAACCCTAAACCCTAAACCCTAAACCCTAAACCCTAAACCCTAAACCCTAAACCCTACCCAAAACCCTACACCCTTCCATCTTTGCCTTCTGGGTCTTAAGGGTCACAGGGGGGGAGGGGTGGGGTCAAGAGAGTGACAGCGCTGGCCCCTTACTGGCCCCCCCCTTTCCAAAAGCGGGCTTAGGCGGCTTAGGTCATACAAGTTTAAGGTAGATTCTGTGCTCCCTTCCTGTAATTTGATGGCCCAAAACCAAATCCTAAACTTAGCACCCTCAACCTTCAACCCTTGCTCAAGCGGGTTGGGTTGTAGGGTTTGGGGTTTAGGGTTACGGGTAAGGGTTTCGGGTTTAGGGGAGGCTCATGGGTAGTTAGAAGTAGAGTAACTAAGGTTTATGACATATTTTTAAATCCTAGTCTCTCTACTACGTATTGCCCCAGTGAGAACGATTCTAGACCATGAAGTCATGCACCTTCAAGCAGAGGATTGTCTAAGTTACAAGCGCTTTTTTAAGCTCCCGAGAAATGAGGTTTCGTATTGCGATAGGAACCCTGAAGCCTAAACACTAAACCCTAAACACTAAGCCCTAACCTTAAGCCTCAAGTAAGAGCTGAGATGTTCGGGATGCGGTCGCGTCACCATCATCCCAGCGCGTTCTGCGCCTGCAGAGGGTATAAAGATTGGAGAGCCGCGCCACATGTACCTCCTAAGGGTTTACCCTAAACCGTACACCCTAAACCATAAAGAGTAAACCCTAAACCCTAAACTTTCGGAACTGTGTGGTTTGGGGTTTGGGTTTTAGGGAGACCCGCGCCCCTCGAGCAAGGAAGACGACGTATTCCTCGGGAGTTTCGGGCTTAGGGGGGGAGGGGGGGAGGAGGTCAGGAGTAGAAGCAGCCGGCGCAAATAGTTACGGCAGTCGCTGGGACTGCTGCTGGCGTCGCTACACGTGACGCGTCCCCAAGCTACCGGAACAGCTGCTCATGATGGTAAGCGTTGCAAATTCTATACTGACAGCACATGGACAGGAGGAAAAAGCTCGATCGACTACCAAGGGAGCCCAATACCCCGCAGTTCAGGAACGCGTTTTGAACCCATATCTTGGTGTTTTTTTTCCGAGTTGCGACGCTTGCGATCTATTCCTTCCTTCTGGGGTCTTGCCATGACCGGGAAGCATCTACTACCGACTCAACAGTTTCCTGAGCCTCTCGGGATCCCCCCCATCAAGGTTTGGACTTTACTTGGCTGCACTTAGCAGGGTAGCTATAACTCTTTCATTTTTAGCTGTCTTATTAAGAAACCCAATAAACCCAAAAAGGCTGAGGATCTAACGATACAGTAAAGCACTGCAGAGTTTTTACTGAGCAGAAGACGCTCCGCCTGCAGCAATAACACAAACCGTCTGCGCCGCTTTGGTGGCGGAAGAATTACTATTAGTATTCCCGCATGGTCCCTATATATAACCATACTAAAAAGAACCCCCCCCCCCCCCCCCCCAAATTAGGCCCTATTCTAATCAATCAGGCCCCTTTTTTGCGCCTCTTTGGTGGCGGATCCGTCTGCTGGGGCGCAGGGGTGGGGTCCGGCATCACTGGCATCCCAACGCCGATCCTGGCCACGAAGCGAAGCGGGGGGATGTGCGAAACTCGAAGTTCCAATCATCATGCGGGCACCCTACACCACCCTCAACCCTAAACCCTAAACCCTCAACCCTAAACCCTCAACCCTCAACCTTAAGCCATGTTTAATGGGAATCTCCCAACAACAGCAGAGGCGGTGTCCCGTCCTTTGGCTCCACCCCTGGGCCAAAAAAATACTGTATATACCCCAAAAGGTTAAAGGTTACCTACCCAGCTACTAAGCTCTCAAACTGCAAACGCAGTGGCAGGAGTGTCAGTAGAGCTTGCTGCTTAAGATGTCTGATTTTGTGGCTTGGGGGTTTAAGGCTTATCATTCAGGGGCTTAAACCCTAAACCCTAAACCCTGAAACCCCCACCCCCCAAGACCCCCTGAAGCGTTAGCCGGAGGGACTCAGCGCCGATCGAGCCTCAGGGCTTCGGGAGGGTGTGGGGTTTCGAGGCTTAGCGCTTCGGGTTTAGGGTTTAGGGTTTAGGGTTCAGGGTTTAGGGTTTAGGGTCTAGGGTTTAGGGCTTCGGGTTTAGGGTTTTGGGGTTTAGGGTTTAGTGGGGTGTTGGGGTTTAGGGCTTGAGGGTTTTGGGATTTTTGGGGTTTAGGGTTTTGGGGTTTCGGGAGGTTTTTTTGTGTTTAGGGTTTAGGGGCTTGGGAGGTGTTAAAGGGTTTCTGGGTTTAGGGCTTTCTGGGGTTTCGAGGTCTGGTGGTTTTGGGAGTGGGTGGCTTTCGATGGGCTGTTTTTGCGGGTGGTTTGGAAAGATTTGGTTTTCAGGAGTTGCTGGAGGGTTCTTGGGGACATTTTTTGGAATGTATGGAAGCAAAGATCTTAAACAAAACAGACTTCCCAAGGTGACTAACTTGGAGGACATGGGCGGTGAGATCTTAGGGGGGTCTGCTAACCCTACTTGGAAAGAATCAACTGAAGGGGTATAAGGAAGGACCCCTAGAAGGGGCCCTTCATCTTATTCCCCTTTTTTTACCCATATACAACCCATATATATATATATATGTATATGTATATGTATATTCCTTGTCTAGTCCCTATGTACCTAAATAACCCCTAAATCACCCCGAAGGTCCCTTATTTATAAGGGTCCCTCCTTTGATCAATCTTCAAATATAGCGGGCTCCGAAGTCACCAGGGGCTGCCACTCAGAAGAGATTTGGCCGCCAGATTCGCAGCCTGACGCGAACCGGGGGTTTCAGGGCTCAGAGCTAAGGGCTTCGGGTATAGGGTTAGGGTTTAGGGTTTAGGGTTTAGGGTTTAGGGTTTCAGGTTTGGGGTTTTCGGGTTTCGGGCTTTGGTAAGAAAGCCTTCCCTGGCTCTTGAGTCGCCAGAACATGCCCCAAATGCAAAGGAGGCGTCTGTCACCGAAGGCTCAAACCCAAACCCCCAAACCCCCAAACCACAAACCCTAAACCCTTGCTTAAACCCCAACTCCCTAAACCCTAAACCCTAAACCCTCAACCCTGCACCCTAAACCCTAAACCCTAAATCCTAAACCCTAAACCCTTGCTGAAACCCGGGTGCTCGCTGGGCCGGACTCAAGGTCTGCAAGGCATGAGGCAGAGCGGCAGAGAAGCTGCAGAGACATGGGCATTCCCCACCTAGGGTTTAGGGTTTGGGGTTTGGGGTTTTGGTTCCGGCTCCCAAACATGACAAATAGAATGTTCCCCAACATGCGAGAAGTATAGAATAGCCAGAGGGTACCTGGACTTTTTCGGGGAAACACCCGCATCAGGCGTGACGAGGGCGCTTGCAGGGCTGCTCCATGCTGGGATCGGGACTCCTACGGTCCTCACGGTCGTCGCCCTCTGCCGGTTCAGGTTCTCTCACACTCACGCCCGCATCTCGAAACAGCTGCACGACTTCCGAGTGCCCACGTGCGGCTGCTTCCTGGCAGGACGCCTCGTCGAGCCCGACACCTTCCGCAAGCAGGCACTGCACAATGGGCGCGTGGCCGCGAGCAGCCGCCGCCCACAGGGGAGTGACGCCAGCCCCGTCCGCAAGTTCCTTGTCCGCACCCGCGCGCAGGAGGCAGCGCACCGCATCTGTGTTTCCACGAACACATGCGTTGAGCAGAGGTGTGAGCCGAGCTCCATTTGTCTGATCATTGACAGCAGCGCCAGCTCCGATCAAGTACTCGATTACGTGAACGTGACCCTCTGCTGCAGCAGCAAAGAGCGGCGTCCCACCGTTCCTGGTTCACGTCTGGGATAGCATTGAAAAATCTAATCTGTTATTCCCCATTGGGTTTAAGTACCTTAAGAATCTAATCTGTTATTCCCTACTGGGTTTAAGTACCCTTAAAAGATCTAACCTTTTCTTCCCTATTGGGTTTAAGTACCCTTTAAAAAATGTAACCTTTTCTTCCCTACTGGGTTTAAGCACCCTCTAAAAAATCAAAAAAACGGTTACCCAACTATATGACACAAAGGTTCCAGTCTCCCTCCTCCTTGGCTGCCCCGGCCTCAACCAGACACTTCACCACCTCGAGGTGGCCTCGCGCAGCCGCTGCCCACAGGGGCGTCACGCCTTCTGGAGGTTGCTTATATAAGAACGAACCCCCCCAAAAAAAAAATAATAATAAAGAAGAATGTGAGAAATAGTCTTCCTTATAAGGGTTGAATAGAGGCTTATATAAGAACCCCCCAAAAAATTGAATAAGGAATAATGTAAGAAATAGTCTTCCTTAAAAAGGGTTGAATAGAGGGATTGCTACTTTTTCTTGTGGGGTTCTTAAGCGAATGCTGGTAGCAGTCCTTCGGGTGCATCCTTCTTGTCCTTACTTGCGCCGCCGCGGACCAGGCACTCCACAATCTCCACGTAGCCGCGGGCGGAGGCCACCCACAAGGGGGTGATGCCATGGCCATCAGGTCGGTCTACATCTGCGGCTGCATGGATCAGGCAGCGTACCATCTCGGCATCCTTCTTCGCAACAGCGATCAGAAGAGGCGTCAGGTTGGTGGCGTCCATGGTGTCCTTGTCTGCGCCGGCCTGCACCAAGCAGCGCGCGGCCTCCAGCGCGAGGACGCTAATTAAGGGGGCCCCTATTCTCCCCCGCTATGCCCCCCCCCCGATACTCCCCACCGAAATCTCCCCCCACTACCCCCCCCAAGCCCAGGGGAGCTTTAAATCAGGCAGGAAGGGAAGTTTCCACCAGTCAAGCTCCTCGAGGTTGTCGCGCACAACCGCCGCGAGCAGAGGAGTCACGCCCTCGGCATCGCTGCGATTGACGTCGGCTCGGGCAGCGAGCAGGCAATGCATGATGTCTGTGCCTAGACCCAGGGGTACCCTAGGAATAAAAATAGATACCCTTTTTGGTTTTAAGGGGTTACAAGTAAGGGAACCCCAACCCTTAAAAAAAAAATATGGGCCTACTCCGGGTCCTAGGTGCTGTTTCGCATCGCGGCTGCCATCATTGGGGTCACACCTTCGACATCACTTCCTTTGGCTGCTGTTGAGGAACTAAAACCAAGTGTTCAATATGCAGTAAAACATTTCCCTACTGATTATGTGCGTAAAACAATCACGTCCGTAGCGTTCACCCAGCATCGGTTCACGTCCGCCTCCGCATCCACAAGCCAGCGGACGATCTCCACTTGCCCAACCCCTGCAGCAATCCTTAAAGGGGTCGCTCGTGCTGCGTTTCCCATCTCCTTGCTTGCCCCACGCTCAACCTCAGATGCTGTGAAGGAACTTCACTTGAGTTCGCCTGTACTCTGCTAACGTCTACTCTAAGCTTCTAACCCTAAACCCCAAACATTCGTAGTTTTAAACTCTCTAAACCCGAAAAGACTAAAATAATTACCCTTGATACCCTCAACACCCTAAACACCCTGTGTACTCTAAACCCTAAAGACCCTCAATACCCTCCATGCCCTGAATATCCAAAAGCCCGAAAATTCTAGATGTCACCCTAAACCCTAAACCCTGTACCCTAAACCCTAAACCCTAAACCCCAAACCCTAAACCCTAAACCCCCCTTCGCAACCCAGCAGCCAGGAACTGGACGACCTCGAGGTGCCCCTCGGCGGCGGCACTTACCAAGGGCGTGTTGCCTTCGTAGCCCAGTAGCCATAGTATAATACGGGCACCCGTTTACCCTAAACCCTAAACCCTTTTTGGTTGGCTGCTTTGTAATTACGGGAACCCAGAACCAAAAAAAAGGCAAAGGGTACCACTGGGCGACCAAGTTGCCCATGAGGTCCTTGTGGTCCAGGTCTGCGCCGGCCTGGTTTATGGTTTAGGGTTTAGGGTTGGGGGTTTAGGGTTTAGGGTTTAGGGTTTGGGGTTTAGGGTTTAGGGTTTAGGAGGAGGAACAGGAAGTTCTTCAAGCCTTCAATACCCCTAAATCCTCAACCCCTGCACACCACACACCCCCTTTCTTTGAAGACTGAACCCCAAATCAACCCTAAACCCTGAACCCTAAAACCTAGACCCCAAACCCTAAACCCTAAACCCTAAGCCTGGACCAGACAGTGAAGGACTTCAAGGTGACCATGCACCGCTGCCTGCAACGCAGGCGTACTTCTCAGGAGGTGTTGAGGCATCGGTTTCAGGGCCTGAACACGAATCTTGGGTTTAGGGTTTAGGGTTTAGGGTTTAGGGTTGAGGGTTTAGGGTTTAGGGTTTGGGGTTTAGGGTTTCGTGTTTCGGGTTTAGGGTTTAGGGAAGATGGGAGCACCTCATGTTGAGGCATTCTCGATGGTCAGGGTGTTTTGGCGGGAGGGTGCTGGGATCATGTGTGTGTGGGGCATTTAGGGGTGTTCACCACTGAAGTGGGTCGCACGGGGGATATAAGAGGCGCCGAGGTCCCGACGTTGAAGGAGAGACCCTGCAGGGACTATATAAGGTATGTACATATTTCTATATAAGGACACTATATGGGGGAATAAGATTAAGGGAAAATAAATAAATAAATAAATAAATATATATATATATACATCTCTCTCTCTATATATCTATACATATATATATAAGGACTATATGGGGGGAATAAGATTCAGGGTCCCTTCTAGGATCCCTCCTCCTACCCCTTACGAAGTGGAGGGCCCCGTGGCCTGCAAAAGCGGCGTGGAACGTCCATCCGGGGGTCCCACATTGGGATCCTTTTGGGGAGGCTTGATACCCCCTAAACCCTAAACCCTAGACCCTAAACCCGAAACCCTATGGGTTTGGGTCTACGATATTCGTGGTTATTGGGGTCCTTATCACAAGGGAATTCAATAATTTGGGGGTCTATTTTAGGGGTCCCCTATTTTCGTAAACCACCATGTGGGTTTGGGTTTAGGGTTTAAGGCATTTTAGGGTTTAGGGTAGGTAGGGTAATGAAGGTTTAACGGGCTTTGGGTTAAGGGTAGTTGGGGTATTGGGTATTTGGGGTGCTTCCTTTTGGGCCTTTTGCGGCTTGGGGATAAGGAAGAACGGCTTATCGAAGTGTTGCGTTGGGGTCGAGTGACTCCGCTCAGAAGATGCCACCCGAAACCCTAACCCTAAACCCTAAACCCTAAACTCTAAACCCTAAACCCTAAACCTTAAACCCTCAAAGCTCCCCTATACCCTCAACCCTAAACCCTAAACATCCCTGAGCCATCCTCAGTCCTGTGTGTCAAAGGTCAGGGTTTAGGGTCTGGGGTTTAGGGTTCAGGCTGTAGGCTTTAGGGTTTGAGGTTTGAGGTTTGGGGTTTAGGGTTTAGGGTTTAGGGTTTAGGGCTTGGGGTTTAGGGTTTGGGGTTTAGGGTTTAGGTTTTAGGGTTTCGCCATGTCCTGCGGCAGTTCCAGCAGCCGGCGCACCTTCGAGTTCAGAGCGCTGTGGCCCCCACAGTTGCTCAAGGTCTGCTTGCAACTTGTCAGATTGGATTCTTTTGTTGTGTGTCCTGCCAAAATGAAATTTTGTTAGCACGTTTTTGAAGACATTTCAATCTGGGAGTTTGCAAACCTTGCGTTCAGAAAGCTCTGTGGGTCCGGGTTTTTGGGCCCAGAATGGAAGACTCTTTCACTGCCAAATAAGCAAGTCCAGTTTTGGAGACATTTCTGGGGCCCAAACCCTATAACCTAAACCCTAAACCCTAAACCTTAACCCCTAACCTTTGACACTCAGGACCTTGGATGGCTGACAGAACATATATTTATAATCTACATCTCCATCCCAAAGCTCGAAGTCCTCTGCCCCTCAGCGCCCTAAGACCTAAACCCAAAACCCTAAACCCAAAACCCTAAACCCTAAACCCTAAACCCTAAACCCTAGACCCTCAACGACCTCTCCCACCCACCTCGGCGACTGCGTTCTGGGCTGCGGCGGTGCACAGCTCTGCAGCATGGTCCTCTCTTGGGCTTAGGGTCTAGGGTTTAGGGTTTAGGGTTTAGGGTTTAGGGTTTAGGGTTTAGGGTTTAGGGTTTGGGGTTTGGGGTTTGGGGTTTGGGGTTAGGGTTTAGGGTTTAGGGTTTAGGGTGCTTCAGGGGGTTTCGAAGGTAACGTAATGCGGGAACGCATTTGCTTGCCGGCATTGCCCGACAGGAAACCTCAGATTCATAGAGCCCAAAGCCCTAGCCCCAGGTCGTTCGCGCCGACTTTTTTAGGGCACTTATTACCCTACTTATAACTACCCCTAAACCTGCAAGTAGCTCTAAACTCTAAACCCTAAACCCTCAACCCTAAACCCTAAACCCTAAAAGCCCCTAATGCGGCTCCTGGCAATGCGGCAGAACAAGGACCTGGCAATGCGGAGCTGTCCACGGAGGGGGCCGTTTGGGAAGGGCGGCGCCGGGGGGGGGAGATTAAACCCTGAACCCTGAATCCTAAACCCTAAACTCTAAACCCTAAACCCGAAACCCTAAACCCTAAACCCTAAACCCGAAACCCTAAACCCTAAACCCTAAACCCGAAAAACCCTACGCACTAAACCCTGAGCCGAAGCGGGAAGAGAAGGCGCCGGTTCGATGTGTGGCTTTGGGAATTGGGAATGGTTTAGGGTTTAGGGTTTAGCCCTAAACCCTAAACCCTAAACCCTAAACCCTAAACCCTAAACCCTGAACACTAAACCCTAAACCCTTCGGTTTTAGGGTGTCGGGTCGAGGGTTGAAGCCCTGAGCCCTGAACCTTGTAAACCCTGAACGGCAGTCCCGAAGACTCTTGAGCACCTTTTTGGTATGCTTTGACACTAAGCGCCGCTGTCCTGTTCCCACCCTTCCCTTGCCCAGAGACTCTTGTGGAATTACAGAGGGGTTGGAACTCGGGTTTGGGGTCTAGGGCCTAGTTTAGGGTTTCGGGTCCACTACGAAAAACCACGATATGTAGCTTTCGGGCGCCTAGTTCCACGATGATACTGTAAGTGGGCCCCCCTTGGTTAGATTAGCGCATGCGTTGGCGCCTCTCTCCCCGCTTCTGCACAAGAGGATGAAGGGGGCCCAAACACCAGATAGAAGTCGAAAGGGACGCTTCCGGAGCGACAGCATTTGTACACTTTACAAGTCGCCACCTCACAACTATACAACTTTACAGACCACATCTATGGCTGCACTGTCTCGCTGTGATACAGGTGACGGAAGATACTAAAATGGTGAATTCTTGAGCGGGCTGTGTTCCTACACCATCAGGGGTCAGGGTAGCCCAGCAAAGCATTCACGTGGGATTGTAAGAGGCAGATCACCCCAGCCTCCCTGTCCTTTCACTCAGCGTCAGGTCACACCGTGAGAACACCTTCCGCATGGAGCTTCTTCACTGCAGGGGTCTTATCATGGGGCTTCTCCGCAAACTGGTAGCTGTACCCTGGGCAGCACGAGCAACAAAAGCAGATGAGCAAGCAGGCCATCACCACCGCGAAGCTTCCGGCGAAGAGGATGATGAAGCCGGCCGTCGCATCCACGCCTGCTAGAAATTCTGCAGGGATGCTCCAGTGCGGAGTGCTGCCGCCGACACCGCAGAAGCCCGTGGCTTCAAACTGACACACAATGCCTTCTCCACGACAGCTGCAGATTGAGCCGCCATCCCATTCACACCTGCCCCCGACTGAAAACACGATGAGGTTGGCCTACCCAAACCCGGGGTTATTGAAGGCTCCGTAAGCCCTAAACCCTAAACCCTTTTGGGGAGTTTAGGGTTGAGGGCTTCAGTGGGTTGAGGACAATAAGGCAAGATGCGGGCCACTACAGCCCGTCAGGGAAGTGGCCATTGCAGCCATACAGCAGCCCAGCTCCGCGCCCTGGACGGGCTCCGCCAGGTCCTTAAGAGTCAAGATTCAAGGGGGGAACCGGGGGGGGGGGGGGGGGGCAGAATAAGAAGTATAGTATCTTGGAGCATGTGGCTCATAAGTAGGTTGTAAGTACAGCTATAAATGGCTAATAAAGTTAATAAGTATCGAACCTCCAAGTAGGGGAACTAAAGGGCGACCTCCGGGATTCGAAAGGGAACGTGGGACCCCACAAAAGGTGGTTTCGAGTTTAGGGTTTAGGGTTTAGCGCTTAGGGGTTAGGGTTTCAGGTTTAGGGTTTAGGGTTTAGGGTTTAGGGTTTAGGGTTTAGGGTTTAGGGTTTAGGGTTTAGGGTTTAGGGTTTAGGGTTTAGGGTTTAGGGTTTAGGGTTCAGGGTCTCTTACTACTAAGACAAACGTTGTGACCATGTTCCAGCCCTTCCACAAGATCAAAGCCGAAGGTTAGCGACAGTTGTGCAACACGTGATGGAGCTAGACATGCAGACGGGGCATCTTAGGGCACCTCAAACAATGACACCGACCTCATGCAAAGCTGGTGAATTCAGGAGAAGAGCACAAACCAGCTCTTATTCTCATCTACAATGTATCCCTAAACCCTAACTCCTAACCCCTAAACCCTAAACCCTAAACCCTAAACCCTAAACCCTATTGAGCCCTCTGGAAAGCTGACGGCCCCAACCGACCAAAGGCAAGGCTCACTTGCGGCCACGTGGGCCATCAGCGCAAGGAGGACGAGGGCCATGGCTCGGAGTGAGTGCCGAGGGAAGTTGGCTTGCTGGCAGCCGGCAAGAAACTTCGCCGAGCGAGAGGCTCAGACTTCGAAGCTGTTTGGATACCCTAAACCCTAAACCCTAAACCCTAAACCCTCATTCCTAAACTGTTGGGAGATGTGGATCCCGAACAGGACCCCTGAGGAGGTCTTCAGGGAGGGCTCGGTTACGTTCCCGAAATCTGATGTAGCTAGGAGGCTTTAAGGTTTAGGGTGGACAGGCTTACCCTAAACTTTCCGACGCCCCAAGGCCCAAAAATCTGCCCAAAGCCCAAAAAACCTCAGCAGCCCTACAAACCCTAAACTCAAAACCACCCCCCCCCCCAAAAAAAAAAAAAAAATAAATAATAATAATAATAATAATAATAATAATAATAATAATAATAATAATAATAATACCAATAATAACAATACTAATAAGAATAACAATAATCAAAATAATAATGATAATAATAATGAATAAAGAAACAAATAAATAAATAAATAAATAAAAAGAAAGAAATAAATAAATAAATAAATAAATGAAGCCCCTAAAAGCCCTAAAGCAGACCCTTCCTCAAAGCCCTCAGAAGCCGCCAGGCACCTGAAGGGTGTCAGCAGCAACCCCGGGCACAGAGAGCCTCAGCTCAAGACGCTTGGTTTAGGGTTTAGGCTTCGGCGTTTAGGGTTTGGGGTTTAGGAATTCGGTCTAGGGTTTGGGGTTTAGGGTTTGGGGTTTGAAGGCTCAACCCCAAAGCCTACAACCCTAAAACCCTAAAACCCCCAAACCCCCAAACCCGCCCCCCCAAACCCCCCCCAACCCCCCCAACTCCAAACCCCCCCCCCTCAAAAAAATAAAATAAAACAAACCCCCAAACCCCGAACCCCAAACTCGCTTTTGCTGTCGAGCTTGAGTCGTGACTATCCCTCCAGGGAGAGCATTCAGATGCGGGACCACTTCCCTAACTCCCTACTTAAAGAAACCGGTAGCCCTAAACCCTAAACCCTAAACCCTAAACCCTAAACCCTAAACCCTAAACCCTAAACCCTAAACCTCTCCAGTCCAGCAGCAGCCTCTGTTGAAAGGCCGTTGCCTTTGGCCGGGCTGATGCTAAGGGGGATCGCAGGACCCCTGTTTCCCGATGGCGGGCAGTTCCTTAATTCAGGGTCTTTGGGGTTTGGATTTCGGGTTTAGCGTTTGGGGTTCGGGTAGCGGGTTTGGGGTTTGTTGTAGGTTTTAACGGTGGATAAGTCTGTTAGCGATTGTTGTCATAGGCTTATTAGCGACAGCTTTACTCATATCTCGCCGTGATCCTCACGCAGAGCTTGCAGCAAGGCGCGATCGGAGGAGCTACCGGATTTAGGGTCATGCGCTAAGCTGCGGGCCTGTGCCATTCGGCCCTGAATCCTGCACCCTGCCCTAAATCCTAACCCGAGGGTTCCCTAGGAGGGCGTCAGGCTCGAAGGAGAAAAATATCCATGCCATCTCAGTGGAGTCCCGAAGTACTTATCTTAAGGACTACCCGACATGCCCACTCAACCCTAACCCTAAACCCTAAACCCGAAACAATAAACCCTAAACCCCAAACCCCAAACCGTCCAAACTGGACAGTTTGTGTTTGGGGCCTGGGCGTCAGTCCCTCGGAGCCCATGCAACCCTAAACCCGAAACCCTCCACGCCAAACCTACTACTTCCTTAAGAACCCCCTAATAAATACAAACATATATATATATGTGTATATGTATATATGTATATGTATATACATATATATATATATATTCTTCCTGATAAGGGCAATATGGGGAGATTTATCTTTTATTTACTGGGAAGCCTAAGGCTAAGACCCTAGACCCCGAAACTCCTGAAATCCAAACCCTAAACCCCCTATGATAATCCCGATGAAGGGCTGTCTGTCACATCCCTAAGCCCTAAACCCTAAACTCTAAACCCTAAACCCTAAACCCCAAACCACAAGCCAGGCGTGAAATGGCCTTCAGGAGGGGCCGCAGGAAGTCCTCGAACTCTTAGGGGCTTTCAGTGGTCTTGGGTGGGGGGGGGGGGGTTTTCGGTGTAGGGGATTTGGGGTTTGGGGTTTAGGGTTTAGGGTTTAGGGATTTTTAAGGATTTAGGATGCAGGGGTCTAGGGCTTTAGGGATTTAAGGATTTAGGGGTTTAGGGATTACGGGGTTTAGGACACTGTCCTTGATCGCCAGCAGGACGTCCTCTGCGGAGTTGGCGAGTCCTCAGTGGGCCAATCACTTGCTCGGGCTCGGGATGCAGGGTTTAGGGTTTTAGGGTTTAGGGTTTAGGCTTTGGGGTTTAGGGTTCCCTTAACCCTTAACCCTTAACCCTTAACCCTAAACCCTAAACCCTAAACCCTAAACCCCTAAACCCTCTTCTGCCCATATGACCATGCCACGACCTTCAAGTAAGACAGTCATCCTGTGATCATGTTAGCCACCATGGAGGCTCGGCTGCTCACGCGAGCATGAAGGGTTTAGGGTTTAGGGTTTAGGGTTTAGGGTTTAGGGTTTAGGGTTTAGGGTTTAGGGTTTAGGGTTTAGGGTTTAGGGTTGAGGGTTTAGGGTTTAGGGTTTAGGTTTAGGGGTTTGGATCACCCCTACACTCCCTGAGCCCTGACCCTGAGAACCCCAGACATAGCACATAAACTCAGCCCTAAACCGAACACCCTCAACTCCACACCCTGAGCCCGAAGCCCTAAACCCTACGCCCCTAGCCCTCAACTCCCTATAAGCCTGAACCCAATATGCCCTACAACCAAAACCCAGTCCATCCACGACTCCTTGAACCCGAAACCCGCAAAACCACCAAACCCCTAAACCCTAAACCCTAAACCCTAAACCCTAAACCCTAAACCCTAAACCCTAAACCCTAAACCCTAAACCCTAAACCCTAAACCCTAAACCCTAAACCCTAAACCCGGGACACGCCGGGCTACGCTGGAGTTCCTCGGCATCCAGCGTGGCGACCACGCTGCCGGACAAGGCCACGATGCGAAGCATCGCGGCTTCGTGTGGAGATTGGGGCTTCAGGGGTTTGGGGTTTAGGGTTTAGGGTTTAGGGTTTAGGGTTTAGGGTTTAGGGTTTAGGGTTTAGGGTTTAGGGTTTAGGGCTTAGGGTACCCTTGAGTTTTAGGCTGCGGAAACGAGGCTTGCGGGTTAAAGGTTTAGGGCTTGACTAGTTCTAGGGTGTAGGATGTTAGAGGGTTTTGCGTTCAGAGCACGTTTTGACCCTATTGTGACTTCCCCACCCTTTCCCATCCCTTTCCTGTCTGCTGCAACTTTGGCTGCTGCTGACACTCCTGTAGCCAGTCAGCAGTGGCTTTCGTTCAGAGTAGGGAATGAAGGGATGGGGGACCCTGTATAATCCCTTACAGGGTATACAAAGGGCCCTGATTCCTCATTCCCTACTAAGAACCCCCGTGACGAAGCATTGCCCCGGACCCTAAACCCCAAACCCTAAACCCCAAACCTTAAACCTCAAGCCCTAAACCCAAAACCCTAAGCCCCCATGTGTTTTTTTATCTTATGCACATGGTGCTATTTCTCAGATCATTAGGGTTAGAGATGTGGCTGCTCAAATTAGACAGGGCTTAGGGGCGTAGAAGTAAAGACCGCTTAGGATAGCGATAACTGGGAGGTAGAGTAGCTATAGTTATAATGGGTTTAGGGTTTAGGGATTAGGGTTTAGGGTTTAGGGACCTCATATCGGGCACTTAAACCCCTGCTTCTACCTACCCGTGAACTTTCCAAGTGCAGAGGACGTAGCAAGGCTCCAGAATAGAGAACCAGGGAACTTACTCATCCCTCAACCATAAACCCGAAACCCTAAAACCTAAACCTTAAACCCTAAGCCCTAAACCCTAAACCCTAAAAACATGAATCCCCACATCCACTGGCATAGACGCGGCCTCCTCCAGATTCATGCTTGGCTCGGGGGCAGCCTCCGGCGCGGCGCCTTCTCTCAGCTTTCCCAGTTGCGGTTTAGGGCTTCGGGTTTAGGATCTAGGGTTTCGGGTTTAGGGCTTAGGGGTAGGGGTAAGGGTGTAGGGTTTAGGGTTTCGGGTTTAGGGTTTCGAGTTTAGGGCTTAGGGGTAGGGGTAAGGGTTGGGGTTTAGGGTTTAGGGTCTCGGGGTTAGGGTTTAGGGGTTAAAGTTTAAGGTTTGAGGTTTAGGTTTTTGGGTTTTCGGGTTTAAAGGTGTGGGGTTTAGGGTTTCGTCCGGGTTTACGGTTTAATGCTTCGTTTTTAGAGTTCATCCGACATCGACGCATCTTCCCATGAGTGATGGCAAGTCATTATCTTTGATCGGGTTCCGTATTTATGAGTTCGTCTAAAGTTCCAAGTATGGGCCCCTAACTTGGGCCCCTTGTTACACGCTACACGAGAAGGGCCCATACATCCTTCGGATCCCCATACACAGTGGTAAGGGACCCTATTTGCTTAAGAGCCCCCAAAGGCAAAAATGAAAATCCATAAATTGCCTGTATATGGGCCAGCATAGGCGCACCCCATGGTATCCCCCCCCCCCCCTGTGGTTTCATGGTGGGTTTTGGGTTCCCTCCCCCCCCGCCCCCCTTGTGGTTCATGGTCTGTGGTTCATGGGTTAGGGTTTAGGGGTTTAGGGTTAGGCTTTAGGGTTCAGGATTTTCACTCTGGTCCATTGGTTCACTGTGGGTTTAGAGTTTGATTTGGGTTCAAGGTTCGGGGTAATGATAGGTTTACGGTTTCCCCTCTCCCCCCTGTGGTTCGTGCTGGGTTTACGGTTGAGGGTTCAGAGTTAAAGCAGCAAAGGTTTCGGGTTTACCCTTCTCCCTCCCGTCGTTCATTGGTGGGTTTAAGTTTTAGGGCTAGGGTTCAGGGTTTGGGGTTTAGGCTGAGGCTTCTCTGTCCCCCTCCCCGTGGTCCGTGGTGTTTTTAGGGTTAACAGGCAGGGTTTGGTGGGGGGTTGCCGGGGGGGGGGGGGGGGGATACC